GGTGGGAATTGATAACAAGCTCAAGGCTAACCTGGGCTATTACATACTCTGTCAAAAATAAATGAAACAAATACTATTTACAACTACTGCTTTCTTAATTTGATAGTGCCCAAGGGCTTTTTAGTTTCTCCTGTCCTAGTAACAGCATTGTGTTTGTCTACACTATATTGTAACCACTACTGTAAGCTCTCACCCCAGCAAACACATACAGTATCCTGTTTATCTATACTATATTGTAACCACTACTGTAAACTCTCACCCCAGCAAACACATACAGTATCCTGTTTATCTATACTATATTGTAACCACTACTGTAAGCTCTCACCCCAGCAAACACATACAGCATTATGTTTATCTATACTATATTGTAACCACTACTGTAAGCTCTCACCCCAGCAAACACATACAGCATTATGTTTGTCTATACTATATTGTAACCACTACCATAAGTCCTTACCCCAGCAAACACATATATCAGGTGGTCATTTTTTCCAAAGTTTCTGCATTATTCTCAGAGTTGAGACTTAGAAATGAATTGTCAAAGTATTTTAAATTTTATTGGAATTAAACTCAAATTAACTTGGATACAACTGTAGTTACTGCAATGTAGAGTTAACCCACTCAGGGTAAACTACCATCTCTGCTCTATCCAAAATGACTTTTGTGGGTAAAGGAAAGTTATGCTTTGGGGGTTGGTTGGTTTGTTTGTTTCAAGCTACTAAATGGTTTTTTTACACAGCTCAGTTCATGAGCTCCTTTTTACCTCACTATATTTTGTAATCAATTTCCACTAATATTTGAGAGAGTTCCTTCTTGATATGTCTCTTGTAACCAACCTCTCTTATGAACTTCTCTGTCTAATCATGCTTCAACAGACTCTCTTGGGTTGTGTGGGTGAATTTCTCTCATCCATTAATATTAGCTTATTTCCAATAATTAGAAATGTTCCTTTTAAATTTTCATTTCTTGCCTTATCAAGTTGACTAAAATAATTCCCAAAGCTGTTCCATGTAATATTAACAGTTTTGCATCAGATAGATTTGAGGAACACTATGTCAGAATTTCCAGAATGATCTTGGTTTATATGGGAGGAATTATAAGCATCCCATGTTGCTCATTTTGGTATTTTGGCATTAATGATAGATATATTGGGCTTTAGTTTGGAAGGCTATACATATGCTAAGAATATCCTTTTTATTATAGTTTATTAAAATTTTGTTTAATTGACAGAATTAATTTAAAAGTCTATCTTTTTTTCCCCTGCCACTTAAAAGATCTCTGAACACCAGGCAGTGGTGGCACACACCTTTAATCCCAGCACTCGGGAGGCAGAGGCAGGAGGATGTCTGTGAGTTCAAGGCCAGCCTGGTCTACAGAGGGAGATCTAGAACAGGCACCAAAGCTATACAGAGAAACCCTGTCTGAAAAAAACAAAAAGAAAAATCAGTGAATATTTTTTTCCTATAGCAAAAATAAAATATAACAAATTCTAACAGGTAGCTATCTTTGCATTTTTAGAAACTATTTTATCTTGGTAAATTACTACTTAAGAGAAAAATTCTACTTTTCTTTTCAGTATTAAATCTTTATCTTTTGAAACTTTTATATCTAAAAGATCTGTGTTCTCTCTCTCTCTCTCTCTCTCTCTCTCTCTCTCTCTCTCTCTCTCTCTCTGTGTGTGTGTGTGTGTGTGTGTGTGTGAATGTACACACACTTACTATGTACCTGTACTTAAACAATAGCTAAAAGAAAGCCTAAAATGTTTAATCCTTTTCCTTGATCTGGAACAGTTTCTAAGCATAAGGCAAAAAAAATCTGCCATGTAAAAAATTCCGAAGAACTTACTTCTAACATTAAGCTTAGTCTGTTGGGGTAAGGAACTCCCAGAAAACTTTCCAAATCAAAGTATTTCCATTTGTCTTTGTACACTTTTTAATTCTTTGTCATTTTATGTTTTCCGAGAAAGTCATTCACTTCATGGAGATTTTCAACTTATTAGCATAGCCTTCCCTGCAGCAACAGGAGCATAATCCTCCCAAAGCTGCCTCTCTGGCCCCCCAGATCTAAGGTTGTATGTTTGTGTCTGTTCCTTTAATCTCTTCCAAATCATGCTTGCTGCAGATTCCTTCAGCCTGCTGACATTATCTCAGAATGCACGGCTGGAGTTTCTAAACAGCTGCTTCGTCAAGTTTCTAATTATTAAGTTATTAATTTCTGTTCTTATCTTAATTACTTCCTTTAGTTTCACTTATTGTTTCTGCTGTAAATTCCTTGGTACATAATTCATGACTTTTCTTCTTTTTTTTATGTATTCAATGGATTTAACAGTTGTAATTTCCTTTCTCTGTGCACAGCTCTGCATGCATTTCCCATAAGATGCTAACACTACTACTTTTTATGGCTTCCATAACAACTTTGTTTCCTAATTATCTGAGTGCCTTCTGGTTTCCTTTGTTGCCTTTTCACTTTCTAAACTAAACCGATAACCATACAAAACTTGGGAAGTACAATCAACCTATTAGAAATAATAGGAAAGGCCAACAAGGTAAAAAGGACAGGGTAAGTTACATGGAATGTGGCAGCCCACAAAAGCTTCCTAGTGACATCTGAGCTTGCTTTATACAGCAAGGCTGCATTAGGGGATGGCTTGACCATGTGCATGGTCACCAGGTGCCTGGGATGGTCTGCACTTGGCTGTGCTAGGGGGAGGTCTTTTGCTCCACTCCTTGGCATTCCTTTAAAAGCCCTTTAGTAGAGACAGAAGGGGCCAGTGGGTTTTGACCCAGACCCTCCCAAGCTATCCTGTGTTTCTCTCTCCTCTATACTTCTGTCTACATACTTCTCACTTCTCCCTCCTCAAGAGCACCCTGGGGGGGAAAGAGGGAGCAGGTCTCCCTCGGTGGAGTACATGGAGGACCAATGCATGAGTAGGATGCACTGGAGCTGAGTTAACTGTGCCTCCACAGGAGCTTCGTGAGGAAATACTGACATCTCTACTGGGGCCACCAGCTGGAGAAGGGCATCCAGGGCATTTTTGTGTTGGTTTCTCTCCTTAGTCCATCACACCAAACAGAGGAAGAGAGAATGAGCTCAGAGAAATAGTATACCAGGGATCTGTGACCACAGAACAAGGCGCCACACGTAAGGACAGTGGCTGCTAATCTCGGGTCCAGGCGAACATAAAAGCAAGAATCACCAAACACGAAGAAACAAATGCATGAGAGAGAAAACAGGAAATACAGTTGGTATATGAAGTAGAAAGTTTAATATGTGGATAGTTACCATCAGTGGAGAGATGAGAATGTTAGATTCATAAAGCGGAACATTGCTACAATAAAGCCAATGAGCAGTTTGGGTGAGCAAATGAATTCAATATATGTGTCAAATAAGCACACAGTGCAGAGTCCTGAGAGACTGCAGTCAATGGGATGATCCAGTGCCTTCTTCAGAATGAGATGCAGAGGGAAGGAGGAGAAGGAACAGTGAAGACGTATGGAGAGCTGATCCTGCCTGTCTGGAATCCATTTGATAGATGTCCCGGGAATGGTGAGCAGCGACGGAACAAGGGAATAGACACAGACAGAAAGCCAGAGAGATGCATGCATTTTCAGATCCAAAGAGACAAGCAGAGTCGGTGCAGCAAGATTAAAAACAGAAATAGAAGCACTGTAAATCTTCTCATAATATGGGAGGGGAGAGGAGAGGAGTGATTAATAAACACAACAGAGAAAAATGCAACCAGAGATCATAAAAATAAAGAAAACACTGTGAATGAAATGTCAGTTAACGTGGCAAGAGTACAAACATGTGCAAATGAACTACCAACTACAGAAAATGAGAACATATCAAACCACAAATAAAAAGAGACCATGACACTGAGTGAAAGAAACTCAGCCACTTTTATCACTGGACATACATTTTAGACCAGTAATACAGAGGGGTAAAAACTGAGTGATAGGAAAATGCCACATAAACACTAAGAACAATGAGGTACAGGAACTATTGGATAAAATACAGAAAGACAAAAAGGAAATTTACCTGAAAGATAATTAATGATAATCAAATCAACACTGAAAGGCAATTTCCCTTAGCCTGGTTGCCCAAATCTACAGCCTATGTTATGGTGAAAACCAATCACAATCATGCAGAATGGAATTTCCCTAGACAGGGAGACGAACTAGGATTGGATCTTTGGCCTGGAACGGCCCCTCCATTTTCTGGCACACAGGCCATGCCATATAGAGTGGAATTCTCTAGACGAGCCAGGGTGTGGCCGAGGAGAAGGCAGTCAGCACCAGGATGGACCACACTGCAGTTCTCACAGCTTCGCATCTGTTTCCCTACAGCACTGGTTACCACACTGTCCTGGATGTCCATACAATTAAAAGTACAAGCTCGACTTCTCTGTCTGCTTTGAATTCCCTATATGCTCCACTACCAGAGCCTGCTTGTGGAGAGCATGCTTGACCATCAAATCACAATAGTTTTAGTTACCAGACTAGAAACTTTCAGTTATGAAATTCAGCTATTCAGAAGTTAGGAGGTTCTGCCTTTGTCTTGCTGATTTCCATCACTCAAAGTGTGCTGGATGCTCTGCATGTGTATACATGTGTGTAGAGATGTCTACCCCAGTTTCATAACACTTCTTTCATTCAAAGCCCTGGACTCTCTGCTGGATGCCATTTGTAACTTCATCTACCCTTGGCTCACATGGGGGTTGGTTATATTTTGTGTTCACGTGTGTGTTTTCCCCTTCTCTGTGGACTGCCAGGACCGGCTGTGGCCAACACGGTACAACCCATTGTAGGGCTACATAAGTAAATGTTTTGGCTGGAAGGAGCCACCTCCATAGAACAAACCCAGAATCCATCTTTTGTTTGCAATGTGCTGTCAGTTTTTCCAAAATCTTTTTCAGAATCTAAACATGTCTGTTCAGCAAGCCTTCAAAAGCACCTGGTACTGGAAGCAATCCGCAGTAACAAAGAAGGCCTCGTAAATACCTTCTGATGTTGTCCATCCCTCATCTTCTGCAATTTCTGGTTGTCTTCCTTCCGTAGAGAATCCTTGTGTGTCTGGCTACTGGCCTGTAAAGGCACAAGCAGAGAAGCATCCATTCAGTGCATCCATCTTCCTACAAAGGGACTGCTGTTAATAACTCAGCCTCCATGTGGAGCATACACTAAGCTTTCCATACACATTTGCTTATTGAGTGATTTATGCATACATCTGAAGACATCCCCTGGGATGTATAAAAAGAGGGCTAGCGTAAGCACAATCATCTAGCACATTTTAAAGGATGATTTAAATGTTTGTTTAATTAAGCTGTAAAATTTCTCCTCAGAGATAACTGACATAATTCATCCCTTCTGGTGGAAAGCTAAAGATGTCACAATCATTCCAACCGACTGATTGGTCCCTCTCACACACAAGCAGTGACGACACTGGCTGTAGAATCACTACCATGACCACTGCTCACTTGTGGTATCTATTAAACTCTGCCAACTGGTGATTGGTAACACGTGACTCCAAAGATGTATTTCTTTCTAAGCCTTTATCTGTACCTGACGCACAGTTCTATTCCCAAGAGGAGGAGATGGAAAGCCTTTTCTGGACCACAGGAGTTTGAGAGAGCCAGCACCTTCAACAGGGTGTCCTGCTGTCTTTCTGACTCACCGTCATAGCCCAACACACTGTCCTACAGACCAAGTATTATGAAATGCATGAGACTGCAAGCAGTCATAGTGCCTGACTTAGGATGGTTCACTTGTGAGGTTTTGTTTTTTTTTTCAGTTTTATGATTGTGCAAAAGTGATGTGCATGCAGTTTTGATCTTCTCACAGTCTGGTGATATGTAGTAACACATTAGCTCTGGATGCTTGGCGGTGGGAGCAAGCCACACATCCCGTCAGCGATGCAATCAGGAGGATAAATGACTGACGCTCCACAGCCTGCGATGATGCTAAGCCAGGGTGTTCCTTCCCTAGGTTAGATACATTACATACATTCTGACCTGCAATACTTTCAAATTACGATCGGTGTATTTGGGTGTAAACCCCATCGTGAGCCCAGACTATCTATATTCTGTCCAAGTGACATGTACTTTTTCTACTTCACACTGAACTTGTAGTCCTAGCCTCCAAAAGGCAGGAAGCACAATCTGATAACCTAGTGCTGCAGAAACTGCATTCATCTCATAAAACTCCCAGCAGCAGCGTGTGAGAAAGCCACATATTTCAGGCCTCATTCTATGGACTAGAAATCCGGCTAGCCTGTGTAGTTGGTTCCCCCTGTCCCCATACTATAATTTTTCTCAAGTACTTCTTAGATCATCCCCCCATTCTTATAACCATAAAAATCCATCTCCCACCATCTACCAGCAAGAACCACTCTCCAGGAGGGGAGAGAAGCTTTCAGAATCACACTATGCAGAAGTATCACTGAGGCTCGTGGAGCTCTGTGTGTCCAGAAATCCCTCATATATCCAAAGCCTGCTTCATCACACAAGCAACCTCCACACCATGACTTTCTCTTATCTCTATACCCAAACAATGGAGTTGTGATAAGCCACAGCAAGTGGGTAGTGGTTCTCTCATGCCCTTTCTATTTATAGTAGAGAACGCTAATCTTAATCACAAATATTCCACATGAGACCCAGGGAACAAGGCAGAATGCAAGTAAATATTATGTCTTGAACATGGAACATGAATTCTACTTGAATCCTTTCCTTATAAATGTATCACATTGTTCTTTATCAGAATATGAGTCTTATTTTTCAGCTGAGACATAAGAGGTTTATTATGCATATGAGGTGCCATATAAAAGGCTACAAGAACCGAGGAGTCACATGATACCTTAGCTATAGAAAGCTCAAAGTTATTTGCAACCCTAATTCATGCTTACCCAACTGGGATCTCTAGGCAGGACTGGAAGTTTCTGTTCAAAGGAATACAGGAGAAAATATGTTTTATTTTCTATTTTTTCTTAGTTGTTAATACTAGCCAAGTCTAAATCACTGCATTAATATTTGTGTAGTATTAAATATTCACTTGATATAGTAATTGACACTGAAGTTTTGTCCTTAAGCCAATGCACACTTTTCTCCATTTTTCTCAAAGCTGTGCTTACAATGCATTCATTCATAAACAATACCTGAATGCTTACAATGCATTCATTCATAAACAATACCTGAGCCACCTATGTGCAAGTGTTGCATCAAAACAAGATCGCAAACTTCAGACTTTAATAACCTTGTGTGGAAGTCAGAGAGACAGTGATTTACAGTTCCAAGGCATGTTAACTATTGTAACATATGAAGCTAGAAAAGATGGCATTTAATCAAATAGGGTCAAAGACACCTTCTCAAAACTGTGTGTTGCTAAGCTGTATTTCAAAGAATGAATAGGAAACTGATTAAGAAAGGAGACTATTTTTGGTTGTGAACCTAGTGCTTAATGACTGAGCCATCTTGATGTCCGTGGTTCCTGTTGCCACTGAGGGTTGCTGATTTCAGGGATCTTGGCCACGACATGGGGCCGTGTCGGTGTCTAAGGGCCATGCTGCCACTGGACCATGCCGATCTGGGTGTACTTTGCTGTCACCTGGGGCCATGGTGACATCCAGACCCGGGCTGCTGCCATGAATCTATGCCTGGATCTGGGGTCCTACCGCAGCCGGGATCTGTGTTGACATCTGTGGCTCCTGGTACAACCAAAGGCTGTGTGGTTGCCTGGGGTCTCAATAGCCGCCTGGGACCATGTTGGTACCTGAGAACCGTGCTTCTTCCAGGGCCATACAGATCTGAGTGGCCAGTGTTTCCACCAGGAGCCAGGATGTTATCCCAGCCTGAGCTGCTGCCAAAGGCCATATCTGAGTCCGTGGTCCAGCTGCAGCTGGGGTCTGTGGTGATGTTTATGGCCTGTGTCACCTCAGGGAACCATAGGAACTAAAAATCAGAGGGACATGCTGAGCCAGCTCGCCCTTCACTGACCCTGGGACAGCTGGCCCTGCCTCTTGCTAAACACTGTAGCAAGAGAACTGGCCCCTGCACTTGGGAGAGATGCCTCCACCCCTCACCACAGGTGAGGGAGAACCAACCCGATGGCATGGGCATAGGGGAGCTGGCTATGTCCTCTTGCCTGAGGCAGGTGACCCCAATGGCCCAGACTGACCAGCTCAACTACCACCCAGACCCACAGGTGGGCCCTGGGTTGGCCCACCCTGACATCTACCCCATCTAGGACCTGCTGGGGCTGGTGAAGGGGCTGGTCCTGTGAGAAGATACCCACAGGCTCTCCATGACTCGGGGCGGCCACGGGATATCCCAGAAGAATTTCGGTGAGGATCCAGTGATGACGGTGTACCAGAAACCAGAGACCTTGGACCAGACCAATGATTCATTGCAATGAACATTTGCTAGGAAAGCTGATTGGACAAAAGGGAATACTATGTGTCACACTGCTCCTAAAGCCACCAGGATAAATGAAGTCATGATGGGGAGGTGGGAAAGAAAGAAAAGTGAAGACGTGGTTTTGGGGTTTGGGGGGGGTGTTTGTTTGTTTTGTTCTTATTTTCATTTGATTGACTGCTCTGTTTTGTTTTGGTTTGATTCTTTTTTAATATTTCTTTTTGGAGGGCACTACAGGGGTGAGGGGAGGATATGGGGGGGACTGGGAGGTGAGCGTAATTAAAGTTCATGATGTGAAATTCCCAAAGAATCAATAAAGAAATTACATTAAATTTTTTTTTAAAAAAAAGAAATTCAGAAAAAAAAGGGAGAATAACATCCTATGAACAGATGACAAATCACATTGTTTTAGCTAGGATTCAGTCCTAAATGGGATGTCTTCATCAAAGCCTGATCCTTCAAGGCTCGGGGATCTGTGTGGAAAAGGAGACAGAAAGACTGTAAGAGCCAGAGGTGGTAGAAGACGCCAGGAAACAGTGTCTGGCAGACACAGCAGGGCTGATGCACACAGGAACTTGCAGAGACTGTGACAGCATGCACAGGCCTGCACAAGTTCAAACCAGACAAAATTCCAACACGCAGAAGCGGAAGTGGACACCAGGTGCGCCGTAATCAAGAAGATATTTGCAATGGACACCTGATGGGAAAGGGGAAATCTGTTTTCTCCAGCAGAGTGTCACTGGGTCCACAACCACACTGCAGAGCAAGCTTCATGCCCAGGAGTAGTCAGTCAACACCAGTGAACTCCAAGGGGCCTTTCCTGTGGAGGTTTTGTTTCGTTTGGCAATTCTTTTTGTCTTATTGGCTTTTTTTGTTTGTTTTGATTTTTTTTGATGGCTTTTTCTTTTTTGAGAGAGAGAGAACACAAAGTTGGGTGGATAGGAAGGCGGGAGGAACTGGGAGGTGTTGAGAAAGGGAAATACATGATCAAAACATACTGCATGAAAAAAAATTAAATTAGAAAAACAGTGTTTATTAAAGAGTTTGCTCATGCTCCCATGTCAAACCATCCCAGACAGGTGGCTCAGAGTTCAGAAATCTGCTGTCTCATGGTTCTAGACATGATAATTTCAAAATCAAGGTTACTCCTTCTGACTGTGAGGAAGGGATTTATCGGTCCCATCCTCCTGTCTGACTTGCAGGGTCATAGTTACCCCTGTCTCCCTATACGTCCTGTCTGGCTTGTAGGGGTCATATTCATCCCTTTCTTTTCCCACCACTTCCTTCTACATGTAACTCTCTCAGTTTCATGTTGAATTTCATACTGATCAACCCTGTGAAGCTCCTATCTTCAAATGAGCTCACATCCTAAAATGGTCGGGTTTAGGTTTCAACATATAAACCTGGAGGGCTTCATATCATCCCAAGACAAGTTTTCATGTCAGATGATGGAGTAAGGATGTTTGTACTTCTAGATATTTTTCTCTCAAAGATTAACCTAAAAACAAAGCAAAATAAAACAAACTATTTTCAAAAGTCAAGAGAAGTTGGGTCTGGAGAGATGGCTGAGTGGTTACTATAAAAGGGGGCAGGCTATAAAACCTCAGGGCCCACCCCCAACTATTCACCTCCTTCAGTGAAGCTCCACCTTCTAAAGCAGTGGTCTTCAACCTTCCCAAGGTTGTGACCCTTTAATACAGTTCCTCATGCTGTAGTGACTCTCCATCACCAAATTATCTCACTGCTACTTCACAACTAATTTCGCTACTGCTGTGAATTGGAATGTGAATATCTGATACTCAGGATATCTGATATCTGACCCCTGTGAAGGGGGGTCGTGACCTACAAGTTGAGAACCATTGTTCTAAAGATTCTGTGACCTTCCCAGACACCATCAGCAGCTGGGATCAAGTGTTCAAATACGTGAGTCTATGGGAGACATTTCACATTCAAATCACAAACAGACAGACAGCCCTCTCCCTTTTTCTTCCTCAGAGCTGCATGAGGGTGTAATACATGGATGCACCAGCTATTGGGGAGGTGATGGGTCACAGGAAGATGAAAGAAATTTTTAGGAAGTCCAAATAGTTGTTTGCCCCCTCTGCCTGCCCTTGTCCTGAAAACTCAAGTGCTAATTCTCTCAACCCTCACAGGAAATCCAAAGTGTATTCTCTGGAAAAAATGAAAGCAGACACAGCAAGCCTAGAAGGCAACAATGGTAAGCAGGGAAAGGCTACATAGGATCCCGCAGACTGATGTCCTCTGTGGGGTTTTCACCTGTCTCCTGCACTGTGGCCCCCCAAATGAAAAGGGTGGTACATTCTTTCCAAAGAACTGGAGACAGATTCCTAGAAAACGACCAAGATTTCCCTCCTCCACAAAAACAATCAAATCCATAAAACACCTGGAGGATAAAGTCACGAAAGTGTGTCAGCAGGCAGGAGCTAAAGGGACTGGAAGATAAATTCAAGGAGAAAAAAAATGTTTAAAAGATAAAGTTAGAAAATAAATCCAGGTGGCCTGGGATTAGAGAAATAGGAATTCCATAAGGGGAAAATGAAGCGAAATGAATAAAAAGAAAGTAATACTAGAAACTTATCTAGGACTAGAAATGAGTTTCCAAGTTGAAAATGAGTAATAAAAACCCTCCTACTCAGTCACATCACTACGGACTATCAGGAGGAGAAAGGAGGATATTAAACTATTCCCCGGGAAAGCAGGTTTACAAAGCTCCTATAAGAACTAAAATCCAGATGCCCTTGGATTGCTCAGGAGTCAATACTGAAAAGTAGAAGAGCAGGACCATCAAAACTCAGAAGCCAACTTCTTACCAGTTTGGAACTTCAAGCAAAGTGTGTGTGTTGGGGGGGGAGATAAAAATAGTGTCCCACACAGAAGGACCTGAATGCATTTGCCTGCCCTGTGTCTTCTCCAGGGAAACTATTAGACAAGATGTTACACTGAAACAAAGGAACAAAGCATACAAGCAGAAGCCAAGGAGATCCCAAAGTCGGAGAACTCCAGATAAAAAGACAATAAAGGCAATTCCCAAGACACTCAGAGAGTCCTTCTCGACCTTGGCTGCACTTCACAGCTGCCTTGGGTGCTTTGAAAACCCTCCAGTCCGGGGCACACTGTAGCTGGATCTCTGGGGATGTGACCTAGGCATGGACAAGGTTTTTTATTATTATTAAGAAATTTTTTATTCATTTTTATATACCAATCATAGATCCCCCTCTTCTCTCTTCATGCCCCTCCAGCCTTCCCCCTCAACCCACCCCCCATTCCTTCCTCTAAGAAGGTAAGGCCTCCCATGGGGAGTCAGCAGAGCCTGGTACTTTAGTAGAAGCAGGTCCAAGCCCCTCCCACTGCCTCAAGACTGTAGGAGGTGTCCCACCATAGGTAGTGGGCTCCAAAAAGCCAGCTCATGCACGGTATGGACAAGTTTTGAAGTTTCCCAGATCAGTTCACTGGACAGAGGAATCTCTGACCCGCTGTGCTAAAGGAAAGTTCCAGAACAACCCCTACA